TGTATATGGTGTGAGATAATGGTCCAATTTTATTCTTCTGTGGATTTTATTTTGGAAGAAGGCTCTCTTTATCCTAAAATTATTTCCTTTTTATTTATTTTTCTCCTCACCTGAGGAGTGAGGATATTTTTCCATTGATTTTTTTAGAGAGTGGAAGGGAGGGGGGAGGGAGGAAGAGAGAGAGGGAGAGGGGGAAACATCGATGTGAGAGACACCTGGATTGGCTGCCTCCCACAGGCACCCCAGTGAGGGGGCAGGAATCAAACCTGCGACCCAGGCACGTGCCCGATTGGAACTGAACCCACGACCCTCTGGTGCACGGCCGACGCTCCAGCCATGAAGCCCTGCCAGCCAAGGCCTGGTTCTTTTCCTGGGTTTCCTTCTGACACTGCCTTCGTAGAACTGGAGTTGATTTTCCTGGCCAGCGTGAGGGAGGCCCCAGCATCACCTGGAGAGACCTCTCCCCCTGAGTTTGAACTCCCTGGGTTCCCACGCGCACAGTTGTGTTTCTGAGCTCTGTTTGTCCCTCTTTCCTCTTTGTTTTAATTACTGGAACTTTAAAGTTTATTCTTCTCAGAGACTTTCTTGGGTTTCCTTCTCCTTCTTCCTCCTCCTCCTCCTCCTCCCTCTTCTTCCTCTTCTCTTTCCTCTTCTCCTTCCTTCCTCCTCTTCTCCTTTCTCTCCTCCTCCTTCTTCCTCCTCCTTCCTCCTCCTCCTCCTCCTCCTTCTTCCTTCCTCTTCCCCTTCTTCCTCCTTCTTCCTCCTTCTTCTTCCTCCTCCTTCCTCCTCCTTCGTCCTCCTCCTTCTTCCTTCTTCCCCTTCTTCCTCCCCCTTCTTCCTCCTCCTTCTTCCCCTTCTTCCTCCTTCTTCCTCCCCTTCTTCCTCCTCCTTCTTCCTCCTTCCTCCTCCTTCTTCCCCTTCTTCCTCCTTTTCCCCCTTCTTCCCCTTCTTCTTCCTCCTTCTTCCTCCTCCTCCTTCTTCCTCCTTCCTCTTCCTTCTTCCCCTTCCTCCTCCTCCTTCTTCCCCTTCCTCCTCCTTCTTCCCCTTCTTCCTCCTCCTTCTTCCTCCTTTTCCCCCTTCTTCCCCTTCTTCTTCCTCCTTCTTCCTCCTCCTCCTTCTTCCTCCTTCCTCTTCCTTCTTCCCCTTCCTCCTCCTCCTTCTTCCCCTTCTTCCTCCTCCTTCTTCCCCTTCTTCCCCTTCTTCCTCCTCCTTCTTCCCCTTCTTCCCCTTCTTCCTCCTCCTTCTTCCCCTTCTTCCCCTTCTTCCTCTTCTTCCTCCTCCTTCTTTCTCCTTCCCCTTCTTCCCCTTCTTCTTCCTCCTTCTTCCCCTTCTTCCTCCTTCTTTCTCCTTCTTCCCCTTCTTCCCCTTCTTCTTCCTCCTTCTTCCCCTTCTTCCTCTTCTTCCTCCTTCTTCTTCCTCTTCTTCCTCTTCTTCTCCTCCTTCTTCCCCTTCTTAAAAAATTAGAGATCTAGACTTTGTCAGATCCCTAAGCAAAATGTGGGAAAGCAGTCCATGTAAAGTAGCAGCTCCAGTGACTTTTTCAAGTTAATCTTCTTCGGAAGTTGGCTGGTTCAGTTTGCTGCCTTGGCCTCATCCGAATTCTCCCAAGACCTGGGACTTCCTCCTCCTCTTAGGTAGCGGGCGCCTTTCCACCCACGGCGCGCTGGGACAAAGCTTCGCCCACTCCTTAAGCTGGTCAGACCGCCCCACGCTGGTCTGAGTGGCTGACCGGCACTGGTGTCGGCCGCTTTGCCTCGGCAGGGCCTGTCGTGGTGAAAGTTCGCTGCCAGAGACGCCTGACCGTGGGGTTGGTAAAGGGGCACAGGATTCCTGTTTGTGAGCACAGTAACCTCTTCAGTGCCAGAGACAGTGTTTCCCCCTAACTCCTTTAGGGAGGACTGACATTTTTGTCACCTGCTGTAGCTGTTCTGTGAACTACCTTCTTTCCAGGAGCCGTTCCTTTCCCACCAGTGTGCACTTGTGCCTGCAGTTTGGTGAGTTCTCCTGGTTCAGGGTAGTTTCTTTCATCTTATTGGAGAGGAAACAGGGCCTCACCTGGGGACTAGGGTTGGCCCTCAGAGGGCCTTGGGCAGACCAGCTGAGAATTTTCGTGGGTATTCTTAAACATTTCCTTTTTTGGATAAATTTTAGAATCAGCTTGACAAATTTTATGACAAAGTATGTTGGGATGTCAGGATTGCATTGAAATGATAAATTGAGGAGAATTGACATCTTTAAGGTTATTGAATCCTCACATCCAGACACATAGTATATATTTTTAATAAAATATACTGTTACACCTACTTGATAATTTTTTTCTTCATGTAGATTTAGCATGTTTACTATAGATATATTTCTAGCATTGTTTTTGGTTTGAATGGGATTTTTTTCCTACTGTCTTTTTTTAATTGAATTTATTTGGGTAACTTGGTTAATAAAATTATATAGGTTTCAGGTGTACAGTTCTATAATACATCATCTGTATATTATATTTTGTGTTCATCAACCTGAGTCAAGTCTCCTCTACTATATTTTTTATTTAATTGCTGCTGGTGTGTAGGAAGGCCACTAATTTGAATATGTTGATTTTATTTTTGGCCACCAAATAATAATAGTAATAATAATAATGAAAAATTTGTATCCATTTTAATATTGTGTTAATTTCTATTCACTTGGATTTTCTGGGAAGATGAACTCATAGCATCTACAACTAATGACTGTCATCTCTATCTTTCTAATATTTTTACTGCCTCTTCATGCCTTGTTTTATTGCATTTGCTGGCATCTGTAGGAAACTGCTAAATGGTAGCAGTGTCAGTAGGCATTTTTGTTGTATTTTTGACTTCAGTGGGGCCTGTGTCTAATGTTTAAATATTGATTGTGATGTTATGACTTGTTTCTGGTAGATACCATTTGTCAAGAATTCTTTTTGTTCCTTCTAGTGCCTTAGAACAGCTCTCAAGTTGTTACTGAAGCTTATTTTCTCTGTTTTACAGAAGGTAATGGAAACTTAGAAAAGTTCAAGGGCTTGAAACGCTCATTTAGCAGATAAAGCTGATGATTCTAGTGAGCTCGCACTCTGCTTCTAGAGCCTTGTAAGATGCTGACGTCTCCTGGTGCATCTGTTCCTCTGCCGTGCCAGGTTCTGTGAGCTGTTTCTGTATATTTAGAGGTTCTTGTAGTCTTCAGCAGCTGTGCAGGCATGAGGTCCCTATAACAGAGAAGGACACTGAGTCTTTAGGGAGGAGAAAAGCTACACACGGTAGCACTCAGATGTGGATCCAGGCTTGAAGCTATTCCATTACACCCTGCAGCCCCTCCAGATAGGTATTCTAGATGAGCTTTGTTTTCAGACCTCAGAAATGGTTGGGTCAGTTTACTCACTTTCTAGCACCTTATACCTTATCATCTTTGCAAGATTCTCTCTTGTTTTATTTATGTATTTTATTCCCTTTTATTTCCTGTCCCTATTGCCATCCCTCTGTCCCATTATAGGCAGCAGTTCTCTTCTGTTTCATTTGTGGATTTTCTTTTTTTAATTTTATGTGTTCTTGCAAAGGGTGTATTGTTACTTTGTGTACAATATTTTAAATCTGTATGATGACTCTCACTTGCTTTTCCTGTTCCCCGCTGCTCTGTCCCTTGCTGCTCCGTGTTGTTGTGGGTGTATCTAGTCTGCTGTTTCTGACAGAGGTGGAGTCCTGCACGGGGAAATCTGCACTTCCCTTCTCCCTGTCCTCCAGCGTGAGCTTCCCAGCTTCCTCCTTCTGCAGCAGCGCTCCAGTGCCTGTCCTGTGCTGCTGCGTGGTCGGCCTGGCAAGGCTCCGGGGATGTACCCCAGAGGGGAGCTGCCAGGTCCCGTTGATGTGCACACTGCACTGCGAGTTGTGCCAGGTCTCCCTCCAGACTGGCTGCCAGTCCCCACTGACAGCCCAGGCACATTAACTGCTTGTTCTGATTTTTTTAGTTTAAGGTATTTTATGTTGGGGTTGTTTTTTTCTTGTTAACTTTCAGGAGGTTATTATATTTTCTCAGTAGCAATTCTTTGTCAGTTGTAGACATTCCAAAAATGTCTCCTAGCCCTAACCAGTTTGGCTCGGTGGTTAGAGCATTGGCCTGGGGGCTGAAGGGTTCCAGGTTCGATTCCTGTCAAGGGCACATGCCTCGGTTGGAGGCTCGATTCCTGGCACCAGTTAGGGCCTGTGCGGGAGGCAACTGATCAACGTGTCTCTCTCAGATGGATGTTTCTCTCTCTCCCCCTTCCACTCTCTCTGAAAAGCAGTGGAAAAAATATCCTTGGGTGAGGGTTAAAAAAAAAAGCCTCCTAACTTGTCAGCAGTCTGCTAGACTTGTTCATGGAGGTCTCTGTTATATAGAGAATTTTAACTTTGAGGTGGTCGGAGTCATCCATTCCTTAGTGCACAACCGGTCTGTCTGTGCCTTTGAGTTTTGAGAGTTTCCCTGCCCGTGACTCCTCCCACCCTCTCCAGTCAGAGAGATTTTCTCCGTTAACCTCTTACGTGAACTCACCTGAGTTGTAACCTCCCCTTGCTGCTGCAGCTGCATCTTACATCATGTCCTGTGCTGGATCTTAGGTTGGGCTCCTTGGAACAGAGCCTGAGTTGGGTCCTTGTGCATGTGGTGGTTCGGGAGGTGCAGGGAAACAGCTGGACAATGCTCCTGACCCCACAGGGAGCTCAAGCATGAGTGGCCCCACAGGGCTGTCCCCTTTGTGCTCTGTGCTAGTCACCAACTGGCTTGGTTCCTCCCAGTCCCCACCTCAGTGGGGCCAACTTAACCTCCCAGGCATTTCTCCATTGCGGTTGTTTGCTGGCAGCCAACATGCAGAGCAGTTACCTACCCGGTAATGGGGGTGAGTTACCTACCCGGTAATGGGGGTGTGGGCAGGCACCAGCAGCATCTGCTCTACTTGGTGACTTTAGACATCTTGGAGCTACATGCCTCCAGTAGGTGGTGACTGCCTGTGTTGCCACCCACAGTCTCCACGAAGGACCTGATCGAGACTTGCTGCGCAGCTGGACAGCAGTGGGCCATTGACAACGACGAGTGCCTGGAAATCCCTGAGAGTGGCGCTGAGGGTGACGTCTGCAGGTAGGACGGGCACCCTGGAGCAGACAGAGCTGCCCATTCACCTTCTCCAGGTCCCTGCTTGCCTTGGACCCCAGGCCCTGACATTGGAAAGTGAGCACATGGTTCACCTGCTTCCAGGTGCACAAGGGAGATTGGATATGGCAGCTGTGGCCCAGCGGGTGAGGCTTCCTGCAAGTGCAGAGAGCCCAAGACTGGACCCCAAAGTGAACTGGCCACATAGATTCAGAGTGGGCCTGATGCGCATAATCTAAGTAGGGTGCAGTTTGGAGCAATGTGAAAGGGCCGTTGGCACCCAGGAGTGATCGTGTGCTTCTCTGACTCTGGGCAGTGCTCCACCCACGCAGGTCACACTGCTCGGCTCCGAGCTGGCGCGCTCGGTCCTCTCTCTCCTTTGCTGCCTTTCACCGTCGTCTTCTGCTTCCTCTGACTCTGGTGTCAGCAGTGGCATCATTACACTGGTGCCTCCCCTGTGCAGGCCTGGAGGATGTCTTCTTCAGCCACTCACCATTTCTCTTTTCTAGCGACATCATCTTTTCCAACCTGCCCCTTTCTCCAGACCAGGAAGACAAGGTTCAGAGAGGTGATGTGATTCATCCAAAGCCATACAGCTCGATGGGAGCATGGCCAGGATTAGACCCCATGTTTCCTGTGTCTAGCCCACCGGGCCTCCTTTAGAGAGATTCAAATGCTAACCTGCCCCTTTCCTTTCCCTCTGTTGTCCCACCGGCTTGGGGCCGTTTAGGAGTTAGGGCATGCGCCAGTCACATCCTTGGAGTTTTGAGCGGAGTAGCCCGTGCATGCTTGCATTCTTCGAGATGGGAAACTCACTGCTTCCTGGCCAGACAGTTCTGTCCCTGGATATGCTCACTGGGACCTGCTTTTCCTCACATGGGGCCGAACCCTGCTCCCCATGACCCTGCCTCTGTGTCCTGGCTCTATCCTCATGCTGCTGGCTCATCAGCTGCCTCTGCCCAGGGCAACCCTACGAGATTGGGAGGCTTGCCCAGGGACCCTGTCAGCTTGTCTCCTCTAGGCCCACCCGGGATTGGGTCCTCCTCTCCTTCTCGGCCCTGTGGGGGGTTGGGAGTGCAGTTCCCCTTTCTCATTGGTCAGGGACACATAGCACTAAGACCAGTGGGGCCCAGGACTAACGTCTTGGTTAAGAGGAAAGCGGCCCATGTGGCTCGGGATGTGCTGGCCTTGCCGGTGCGCCCGCCAGCAGCGCTGTCCTGCCCTGTGGCTTCCCTTCTCTGAGCCTCAGTGTCTTCCCTGGGAGGATGGCGGCCAACAGGAGGGCTGAGGGCTCTTCTGTTGCAGGACAGCCCAGAAGTACTGCTGTGTGTCCTACCTAAAGGAGAAGAGCTGCATGGCCGGCGTCGCGGGGGCCAAGGAGGGCGAGGCCTGCGGGCCTGAGGACAACGACACCTGCGGCACTTCCTTGTACAAGGCAAGTCTGGCTGGAGCCTTAGTGGCTTGGGCCTGAGGGTCCTTGAGGGCTGGGGTTTGGGCGCCCTTACGGGGCTCCACAGTGAGGGCGACCCTCACACCTGGGTCAGGGGTCTCCTCATCTGCATACAGAACATCACCAGTTACTCTGCTGCCCCTAATTCACAAAGTATTTACTGAGCAGCAGTGTAGGCCAGGCCCCTAATTCACAAAGTATTTACTGAGCAGCAGTGTAGGCCAGGCCCCGTGTTAGGCATGAGGGATGCAGAAATGAGTGACACACAAAATTCCCCGCCCTCTCTGGGTCTTCATTCTAGTCAGGGAGACAGAGGGAAACCGAGGTAAGTATGTTAGTGTGTGGTGTATTAGAAGGTGATGGTGCCGGGGAGGAAACACTGAAGAGAGGACAAGAGTAAGCTCTGTCAGGGAGGGGGTGGATCTGGAGTTTCAGCAAACAGTGGCTGGAGATGGTCTCAACGAGAAGGGGATGTTTGAGTAAAACCCTGGAGGAGGAGAGGGGTGAGCTGTGTGGACTTCTGTGGGAAGTATCTTCTAGGCAGAAGGAACAGAAAGTGCAAAGGTCCTGAGGCTGGCGTGTGCTTGGCATGTGTGACCAGCTGCAAGGAGCCTGTGTGGCTGGAGTGCAGTGAATGAGGAGGGAGCAGGAGGCCACAGAGTGATGGGGCAGACCCTGTCCATTATTACAAGGATGGTGGTTTGCTCTGAGTGAGGTAGGAGACATGGAGAGTTTTGAAGGATATTATCTGGGTTCCTTCTGCAATTGTGGAGACCATTCATTGAGGGGGCTCTTCTCCACGGACAGTGTAATCAGAACGGAGTAAAACCTCACCAGGCGGTCCTGGGCAGAGAGAAGAGGAGGGCACTTCTAGCGGAGGGAACTGTGTGAGCAAGAGCGTGTGGGAAGGGGGTTCGGAAGGCCTGAGGTGCAGTGGGGGCAGACTGCCAGGACCCTCTTGCTCTTGCATTAAGGACAGTAACTCCTGCCGTGAGACATTTCGGGCTTCAGGCCGCGGTGTGCAGGGCCTGGGAGGGATTTACAGAAGAGGGTCACTGTGCTAGGACTCACGCTGGCCCCAGGTGGCAGGGCCAGTGACAAGGCGTCAGTTTGGCTACAAGTAATGGGAAACTCCCGAAACATTGCTTATTCTGTCGTATGCTGGAGGGTGCAGGCAGCCAGGCCAGAATTGAAGGAGCGAGTGGCTCTGTGGTCTTCAGGGCACAGGCTCGTGCTGTCTTGTTGCCCACAAACTGTCATATGCTGCCTCCTGGCCCAGGATGGCTTCTTGAGCTCCAGGCAGCAGGCAGGAGGAAGTGGGAAGGGGGAAGGAGCCCCCCTCCTGCTTTAAATTATTTTTAATTGTGCCAAATACACATAATGTAAAATTGACTGTTATAATTACTTTTTAGTGTGTAGTTCAGTGGCATTAAATGCACTCACATTATTGTGGGGCCACCCCCACCATCCCTCCCCAGAACTCGCCATCTTCCCAACTGAAACTGTCCCCATTAAGCAATAACTCCCCATTCTCCCCTGTCCCTGGCTACCACCATTCTACTTTTGTCTCTATGAATTTGACTACTCTGGGTATCTCATAAAAGTGGAATCACAGCCCTAACTGGTTTGGCTCAGTGGTTAGAGCGTCGGCCTGAGGATTGAAGGGTCCCAGGTTCAATTCCTGGTCAAGAGTACGTACCTCAGTTGCAGGCTTGATCCCGGCCCCAGTCAGGGCGCATGCGGGAGGCAACCAATAGTTGTGTCTCTCCCACATTGATTTTTTTCTCTCTCTCTCCTTTCCACTCTCTCTGAAAAGCAATGGAAAAAATATCCTTAGGTGAGGGTTAAATAAAAAGGAATCACAGTACTTGTCTTGCTGTGACTGGCTTATTTCACTGAACGTAATATCCTCCAGGTTCATCCATATTGTTACATGTGCCAAGATTTCCTTCCTTTTCAAGTTGAATATTCTTCTCTTACATGTATAGAGTGCATTTTGTTCATCTATTCTGTTGATGGACGTTGGGTGGCTTTGACATCTTGGCTGTTGTGACTAATACTGCTGTGTCCACTAATGCTGCTGGTGTGAGAAGAGCCCCTCTTTTGAAGACAGACATACTTCCACTAACAGCACATGAGCTAGAACTTAGTCCAGTGGCTACACCTAGCTTGAGGGCTGCTGAGAAATGTAGTCTTTATTCTGGAGAGCTCACGTGCTCACTGAAAATGGGGGAGAAGGGAAAACAGACATTGGAGATCCACACCTGGCTGCTGTGCAGCAGAGGACGGCAGACTAGGGCAGCGGACAGTTTCAGGGGCATCACCAAAAGAGATATTTAGGGGAGAGGCGTGTGAGGAGTCAAAGAAGTGTCACAGGCCTGGATGACTGTAACAGGCACCTTTGGAGGAAGGTGGCACTTGGAAAATGATTTTGACTTTAGTTTTTATCATGTTGGGTTGATTTTTCCTAAAAGCAATTGAGATTAGGGAAAGGACTTTGGTGACAGAAAAGTTTCCAATTTCATTTTGTCTGTATGTTTGACCCTGGTCCAGCCTCTTTTGAGCCCCAGCTTGTCTGTCTACAAAATGGGGATAGTGATATATGTCTCATGGCGTGGTTGTGAGGATCAGAGGTAAGGCAAACTAAGTATTTATGAAGTACATGGTGGGTCTTGACTTATGACTCGCTTATCTCATGAGTCAGGGTAGTTTTGCTGACCTAGGCCATGCTCAGCGGATCTTGGCAGAGCTCACTTATGAGTCTGATGCCTGCTGATGGCTCTGCTGGCACTTTATGATTTAGGATAGCTGCAGCTGGGATGACTTTTCTCTGTGTGGTCTCGTGGCTTCTAGCAGGCTAGCCTCGGCTTGTTTAGTTAGTGGTGGGCAGGGCTTCTGCACAGGGAGTACAAGTGTGCAAGACTTTTTGAGGCCTAGACTCAAAACTGGCACATTGCCACTTCTGTCTCATCCTATTGGCCAAAGCAAGCCATGAGGTGCGACCAGGAGGTTGGAGAATAGTCCTTCTTGACGGGAGGAATGGCACCACCGCTGCAGAGGCAGGGCCACCGGGAAGAAGACACAGTTGGGAGTGTCAGTTAACCACGGTAGTTTAAACAGCCAAAGGGTTTAGGGGGGACAGTCTAGGACAGGGTGTATCCACACAGTACCTTCAGCCTCGCTGGCTTCTGCTTTTCTGCTCAGTCGTCTTCAGTTCGTAGCTTCCATCTTGAAGGTCAGCCCATGTCTCAAGATGGTTGCTAGAACTCCAGCCACCATGTCTTGTCTAGAAAGGAGGTGCACTGTGTGAAAAGGAGGTGCTTCCAAGCTGGGTCAGCCCCAGTTAAAAGCTCTCCTGAAAGCTTGACCTGGTGACCTCTATCTCAACTGCAGGACCTTGGAACATGCTGTCTTTTACCTGGCCTAACCAAAATTAGTGTGCTAGCAAAAACAGGGTCTGGTAGCAGATGTGGCTGGGGCAAATTTGTAGTCTTTTCATAGAGGCCATTGATTAATTATTTCAAAAGACCTGCATTAGTCCTACTCTGAGCCAGACCTGGGAAATGGAGACAAGCGACTCCTCTACCCTTGGAGAGCACATACTGTACAGAAGAAACAAGACAAGATTATTTATCAGCCCCTCTGCTGAGCCAGACCCAGGCTGCTTCCTGGGGACCCTCAGTGAGTCCTATGGGCTCACAGACCCAGGGGAAGGCAGTTGGGCTCTGAGGGCCAAGGTGTAGCAGTGACTGCGTGTCTCCCTCCAGCAATGCTGTGACTGCTGTGGCCTGGGGCTCCGTGTGCGGGCCGAGGGCCAGTCATGCGAGTCCAACCCCAACCTGGGCTATCCCTGCAACCATGTCATGCTCTCCTGCTGTGAGGGTGAAGACCCCCTCATCGTGCCCGAGGTCCGCCAGCCTCCAGAGCCTGAGGCTGCACCACAGAGAGGTGGGTGTTTCCTCACCCTGGGCCAGGGTGTATGGGATGGTTGGGTGAGGGGTAGAGAGCTATTGGTGCCTCTAGCCAAAGCTGGATGACCCTGGGCTTCTGTGGGGACCCTGGTCCACGGCCATCTGTAGCGTGAGGTACAAGTTCTGCTCTAGACAGAGTTCCTCTGTGGTTTCTGACAGTGGGCTCAGGCCTGACATTTCCAAGATGGTATCATTCAGTTTTCCAAGTACTCCCACTTCACCCACTGAACCACCAACTGTCTACTACCTATCACCCTTCCACTCTCACCCACCCTCCCATCCACTCTTCTATCCCTCCATCATCTCACACCCCC